GGGTTTTCTGACAGTTCCCCATAAAAATGGAATTGGAGGGGGGATGACCCAGGAATTCTACAGTTGAAAGTTTCAGGCACTGTGGATGGACGAAATCCTGCACCCCCAAAAAAAACCCTGGAATGATGATTCTCCTGCAAATACCAACAACCCTATGGTTTCAACAGTGGTTTCAGAGTGGTGCGGTCTCGGATTTCGCTTTTCCATCCACAGTAGGGACGAGACGCATGGGGAATTTCACGAAAAACTCCCACGGGCTCCCAGGCCAGGCGTGATCTTGACAAATTTGACATGGCGATTGCAGGGGCCGGTGGGTCCATGCATTAAGATTCTCTGTGGTTGTCAAAACCGTTTTGGGATCCCATTTTGGGGTAGGTGAATTCACCGCCCATTTTAAAACCTATTTTAGTGGGGATTGGGATGTGCAGTGGGGGTACGGGATTTTGACCCATGGCCATGAGAATTTACTTTTCCTTGAACATTTATTGTAAGCAACAGGAAGCGCTTTTCTACTTTGTGGACTGAGGAGTTCGTGCGCAAGCAGTTTGACGACCATCTGGCGGTGGCTCAGCCGCATGGAATGAACACTGTGAGAGACCGAGAGGCGGGCAAACAGTTTCTTTGAGCGCCCGGAACTCCGCCGTGGCCAAATTGTAGTCGACGTTTTCGTCTTTTTCCAGGGGTTGATTCCTTTTCCATTCTTCTCAACCATCGTTCTTTGCGAAAACCGATCGCTGTTTCCCTGGGTGTTTGATGGGCGTCCTGAAAAGATTCGGATCCCTGGAAAGAATGGGGAAGGTACCCCTAGGGGTGCGGACAACAAAGACATTTCCACAACCATGTTGGTAGAACCAAATCTCGACAGGGTTTGGGGACTGATTTAGGACCCTGTGGTGGACATCACTTCTGAGGATTTATGTTGACCTACCAGGTTTGAGGGGTTTTCCGCTTATTGCTGTGAATTGCCAGATAAGTGTTTCCTACAGTGGGGGGGTTTCCTTTTGTTTCGCTTTCACCGCTTGATGGTGGGAAATGTTGTTCGCCTTGGCTTGCAATGCAGTAGGGACGGATGGGAAGAAGGGCAGATGGAGTTTGCTTGTTCTTAGGGAACATGGGACTACCCCCTATCAACCACAAGTGGACATCAAAAATCATGAGTGGGGCCATCTAAGGAAGCAAGCTCAGATTGCATTTCCCTGTTCCGAGTGAACATCCCTGATCAAAGTGTATAAAAGGGCCTCAATAAAAGGATCATCTATTTTTTCAGAGGGGTGCCGTGGTACCTTATATTTTTGCGGATTTCAGGAATCTATTGTCCAATCCCCTTGAACCAAAGCCAACTCCGTGTCCACAGGAAGCAGTGGACGCACTGCGCAATCCGACCGGTATGGCCAAGAAGATCGCGGAGAGGAAGATACAAAAGGCCTTGGGCTCGGGTTTGCCCCGACGTGGACGTGCTTCTTTCGAGGGGGGCCCCTTTGCATTTCCCCAGAATTGGTTCCCCTTTCTTGGGGTCCCCTTTGTTTTCCACTAGCCAGGCAAGAGAATTGTTTTTTGCTGGGGTCCTAGTTCCAGCCAAGTTCAGGTTGCAGGAGTAAACCACAAGCAAAGCCGAACTCGGACATTTTTTGGGTCCGAATCATATCTTTTTAAGACACATATGCAAATCGGGGGTTCAAGTCCAAGTCCCAGTGGTGGTGGAAAACAGGGCTCACTTTCTGTGAGCCAAGTGGGAATGATCGAATCGTTCAGTACCACCCTCAGTTTTCTGTCTTCGGATGGGAGGTTTGGAATGCTCACCCCAACTTCCGGCCTTTGGCCATTTCCCATTTCCTGCCTTTGGCTGCCTTCCCTGGTTTTCCGGGGTGAATGGAAGGGCACAACCTGTTGGTTGATACGGGAACCCCGATGAGCCCCATGTCCGAGATCGAGAAGGCTGATTTCAGCCCTATGTGACCGACCCCCGCAAAAAAAGTGGCTGCCTTTTAATGGGTTTGCGAACTGGCTGTGGGTCAAAACCAATGGTACCATTGTGGGGTAGGTGCACCACCCATTTTAGTCTATTTTAGCGGGGATTGGGATGTTGACTGGGGGAGCCGAAACACAACCCCAGCTTTGGCTTCGGAGAGAGAACCTCCGGCATGGCAGGCCGCCTTTCTGTACAAGCAGTACGACACGCGCCTCGGCTCGGGTTTTGTTTAGGCCCAAATTCAGAGACGCCCAGGTGGCTTTGTTAGTATGATTTTTATTGTTATTCCTTCTACTATTGACATTATTATTATTCATAATATGATTATTATTATATTCTTATTATTGCTGTTGATACTATTATGTTTAATATGTTTAATATTGCAGGGCCCTTCTTTTCAGTTGTTTGTCTGGGGTTTTGATTTGTTTCTCTCCGGGCTGGCTTTTTGGCTTTTGTGGCTCTTCCTAAGTTTTCGCGGCTGTAGTTGGTTTTGCTTGCATCACCAATAGCTTTTGGCCGTTTGGCCGTTTGGCCTTTTGGCTTTTTGGCTTTCGGTGGCTTTCTCAGCGACTTAGCGCACCTTGTTTGTCATCGCACACTTTCTTCATTGTCGTTATTTCTTTTTCTAATGGGGCATTCTTGAAAGGGCCATCGTCCGGCTTTGCGATCTTTGTTTGTAATCACTTTCTCCTTTAGCGACAAGCGGGCGATGCTGTGGCTGTTGACGGTGCACGTGTGAAATGCGTGTTTGGTGAGAACATGCTGTAAACGGCAACATGTTGTTACCCAAGAGTAAAATAATAAAACACAACAAGAAACAACAGCAATTGAAAATTAAGTCTCGAACCATTTAATACTACTTGTATTATTATTCTAGTTGTTATAGTTTATTATTATTATTATTATTATTATTATTATTATTATTATTATTATTATTTTGTTTTTATCATCATCTATTATCATTATTATCATTATTATCATTATTATCATTATTATCATTATTATCATTATTATCATTATTATCATTATTACTATTATTAGTGATAATATTACTATTCTTATCGCCATTCCTATTCTTGTTGTTAACATCACTCGTCTTATTGCGATTCGTATCGCTATGGTTATGGCTTCCCTTTGAAGCCGATCCAAGAGGCTCATCCCGACGGATGGGTTCGCGAGGTGGGACTCTCCGGACATCCCAGCCCATGGGTCCATGCTGGGCCTCTTGGAGCACAAATTGGACCGAGGCGCCCGTTGTGTGCCTTTTTGTGTTCTTTTTTGGGGGGTGGGGGGGGTGGGTACATCCTTCTTTTTTTTTCTTGGGGGGATATCCTTTTTGTGTTTCTTTTTTTTCTTTCTTCTTCTTCTTTGTTTTTTGCGGGGAGATACGCTTTTTGTTTTCCTCTATATTTTCCGGGTGGAATTTTTCGTTTTCTGTTTGTTTTGGAGGGGATACCCGTGGGGTGGACACTTGGTCTATTTTGCATTAGGGTATTGGTTTTTTAGGGTTCCTGGGTGCAACATATACTTCCCCCGGTCTTAGCTACCTCATGTTTGGTGGCTTCGATTGGTTTGGAAGTTTGAAGCTAGAGGGTACATAGAACACCACCCCTACTTGCCAATCCAGCGGGCTCCAAACCACCAATGAGTGAGAAGCTGATTGGTTCCGACCGGTTTGGTCAGCATTGATCTCATTCCGAGCTTGGGATCCGGTGAATGGATCACTTCGCACCCAGTCTTGGGTTCAGTAGACGCGGGTCAGCTCAGTAGACCTGGGGTTTGCGAGCTTTGAATGGATCAGGTGCGCAAAGGGTTCACTCGCCCGGTGCCAGCGCCATTGGTCTATCTGAGGCTTTCCAACATCTTCCATGAAGCTACCAGTGACGCCCTGCTAGTCAGCGAATCAAGCTTAGCCGCCGGAGGTTCTGGATGCGAGTCCCCAACCGATTTTTTAGGCAGAGCCGGCTTAGAGTGCGACCTTACGACTGCAGAGATGCGGAACTGCATCACGCCTCCACTTCTACAACTTCGATTGCAGCAGAGCAGACAGTGTACGCAGCTCTCTTTTTGATGGGGCGTTTCCCCAAAGGATCTCTCTCAGCACGCACATCCTTTGCCCCAACCCGCTTGAGCTGTAGATGTTCTTGGTTGATCTCATGTGAAGGCTTTTAGATGCAGGGTTTTCATTGCCTTTGGTGCTTCAAAAGCACGACAAGCCATGCGCGGCTTTCGACGTGCCGCAAGAGCTTTCGCAAGCGAAGTTGAGATGGCGACGTTGCGAAGAAGACATCAGACAGCCACCAAAACCGGTGTGAAGATGTAAATTGCCGGTTTGGCAGTTTTTTCCTCTGCACTGGCCAAGCCAGAGCAGAAGTGAAGGAGTGAAGAAGTGAAGAAGTGACATTACGGCCCTCTAGCACTTTGCGTACTGGCCGAGCCAGTTCCTAGAAAAAGCTGGTGGGGCTTCTGGGCGTGCTGAGGTTTGAGCGACCTGAGAACCTTTCTTGGTGCCGCGGGGGGGCTCTTTGGCTTCCTCCCAACCTACCACGAGCTCACTCCCTGAGTTCATAAAGGGAATTAAAAGGAAAAGAAAAGGACATGACCCATCCCTTCATGCCTCACAGAGAAGACTGAGAGGCGGGATGGATTCTAGATGCTGGAAGATGGCTGACAGCAGATAGGAGACAGGGAGCGGTGAGTGAGTCTGTGAGCCATTCCTTTCCTCTCGCCTCCGCTCCATCCAATCCATTCCCTTCATCTCTTCTCCTCTCTAACTCCTGGAAGTCGTGAACAGAGGTGAACAGATGACAGAGAGGAGATAGAGAGAGAAGAAAAGGCTCAGGATCCACGATTTCCAAGTTAATTTCTGGTGAGTGGATCCTCCATGCCTTCATCTGAGTTCATGGACTTTAAGCTTTTTGGAAAGACCGTTTAGCTGCAATTACAAGGTTCACACACACACACACGCACTTTTGGCCAGGCCACTCAGGAGGTAAGTGAGCAACAGACCTGTGACACTTTCCATACTAAGGCCCCTCACGCGGCAGCTGACCAACTTGGCTGGGAACTTGTGGAACGCTTCGCGGGGGCCCTGGAGTCGCCAGCAAGTCCAGCTTCCGATGTGAGTCATTGACAGTATCGGTCTACCTTGAAGCAGGGGGTACCCCCCGTGCCAACCACAAATGACCAGGGGGACAAGTGGGACAAGCTAGTTTTCCCATGCCCTCTTCGGAAATCAACTAGTTTTGTCTGGTGCTCATGCAGCCGACCCAAGAACGGTTTCAGCAAAGGAAACCACACAGAAGGCCCCACCGCTGGTGGGGCGCATTAGTTGGGGTTTGGATGGGTGGGAGGTTTTCAGAACCTTCCAAGTTCGCTTCGCCCTGACTCCGAACCCGCACGCGCTTGGCGTGATTAAAGCTATTGCAGCTCGCAGTCGTCCAGTGCGTGGGGCGATTGCCCCGATTCCGAACCCAGAGCCTCAAGGCACAGAAGGACGCTGCGCAGAAGGCCAACCTCAAATCCTAAGCCCCCTCCGCACCAAAACGCAGCGGGTGCGGTTTGGCCATGGGTTTCTGCGCTCCTTGAGATATGGAGCAGCTCCTTTGCAGACGGCCCTGTTTGAGAAGATGCCTCCCAATTTTGCAAAGGACCCAGCCAGAAACTTCAAGCAGCCCCACCGCCAATTCTAAAGATCAGCCTGTGTAGATCCTCAGAACCCTATCACTATCAGAACCATCAGATGGTGACTTCCAGACCTTTCCTTTGGTTTCCTCCCTCGATGGCCTTCCTTGGATACTTGCTCCAACTTCCAACCCCTTTGCCAGGGGATGATTTCAAACCTCGACCAAAAGCCACTTGTTTTCTATGGGTCCCCTCCTTGTTTGTTTGTTTGTTTGTTTGTTTGTTTGTTTGTCTGTCTGTCTGTTTGTTTGCTTGTTTGTTTGTTTTTTGCCCAGAAAAGGCAGTAGGTGTTTGGAGCACGCATGAGAAATTGTACCCCTGTTTCTCAAACATGGGGGGGTGGGTTCACCCCCCTTTAGGTTGGGCTTAGGGCTTACCGGTTTTGTCCTAGGTTCCTCAACACTTGGGGACCGATTTCCTGTTGCCGGTTTCTTCCATGCAGTTTTTGAGGGGGACCAATACCAGCCGAGCCGGCTTTCTCTCCTTGCCATTTTGGGGGACCATGCCTTCACGAATCGACCGAATCGACGCGCGACGGCGACGGCGGGGGCTGGGGGATCAAGGCTGCAGAACAAGCGCGCTGAGCGCAACGAGCTGCTGCTGTGCCATGAGCCCCGCGGCTTAGAGGTCGAACGGGCTGGGTGTCGCCTTTTTGGGACCCACCACCGAAGGGTTGAGGTGGCTCTATCAGACATTGTTTTTTTTTTGTTTTTTTTTCTTCTTTCTTTTCTTAGCGTTCTTCTTTTTTTCATTCTCCGGTTTTCTTCATTTTTTTTTCGTTTGTTTTTTGTTTTCTTGCCTTTTTTCCTCTTCTTATTTCTTTTTCTCTCCTGGAACCCGCCAGATATATATATATATATATATATATGTAATGTGGAAAGGCTGCAGGAAGCTTGGAGATAGGCGCCATAGGGACCCTTTGAGGGGACTCAACTATGGGTGTGTTGTTTTTCGTTTAGGGGACCTCCAGTATGGTGGTTTTCCTTTTGGTTCCCCTTTAGAAGCACCCAAAAGAGCCAACTCAAAGACAGAAATGGTTGGATGTCTTGAAGGAGTCGGTCCACTTGAACATGTCAAGAGGGTTTCCTTTTGCAGACCTCTTTTCGAGAAACGCGAGCAGATATCCACAGCTTTGAAGATGATTTATCTTCCATTTGGGAGATGAGCTCTAAATGTCCGCAAACACCAAGGGTCGAACCCCACAGTTTTCTTATGTCCTTTTGGGGAAACAAGCAACTTTGACTGGCTCACATGGGTGGTTGCCTGTTAAACGGCATACCCAAAAGGGCCCGCAGTTTTGACAACCCTGGGCAAAGAAGCGGGGCGGCCTCAAGCGCTGTCTGGGCACTCCACCTTGATTTCTCCATTCATTTTTTTTTTGAATGATTTCAAGGTTCAACACACATGGGCCAGAATCAAGCATTTGTTAGTCCGGTGCAAAGCTGAGGTAGATGCCCATTGTGACAATGACCACGGCCTTCAACGAAAAGAAGTCCTGTCTTTCAAAGTTCATATGAGTACATCTCAGAATGGGAACTTGGAAAAAGGGGACCCCTGCTGCAACGGGGGCCGCTTTAGGCCACAAGACAGCAAGCTGTTGCATTCTCGGCTCGTTCTTATGCTTATTTCTGATCTCTACAGGAGGTTGTTGGAATGGTGACGAGCTGTTGAATGTTGAGTCGATGCGACCACTTCGTTGCAGAGACGCTCATTTGGACAAGCAACACCTGCCAAGAGCGTGCATGGTACTTCAGCCGGTCCGCAAGGTTCCACCGCAAGAAGTTCGTCTTGTCGCGCTCCCAGTGCCAAAGAGAGAGAGAGAGAGAGAGAGAGAGAGATGGAGAAGAAGGAGCAACAAGGGATGTGTTTGGGAAGGGGGGGGGGTCGTTCTTGGCAAATTTCCCCAGGCCAGACAAGGAGAATGCCACGCAGAAGAAGAAGCGCATGCACGAAGGCACGGACCCGTGTTTTCATCGGCCTCCTTTTTGAGGGTGCAACAAAACAGGTACATGGAGTCAAACACATGTGTCCCCCGCTTTTTTTCGGGGCCCTCAATCAAATTCGAAGGAGCTGGAAGCCCCAAGGTTTTTTCAACCCGTTCGGGGTGGTTTCCTGGAATGGGCAAGAAACCATCCCTTGTTTTTTTTTTTCCAGGGAATCCCTGGATTGGTTTTTCCAGGAGGGACCTTGTCAAACATCGGACAGGCTTTGGCTTGGAGGAGGACGAGGACGTCCCGGCACAGGCGCGAAAACCGGAGAGAGGGACAGGGCCGGCGTGGGCGAAATGTGTTTCTTTAGCATGGCCTTTGTATTTACAGGCATTAACAGGGTAAGCTGGTGGTATTGAAAGTGCAGATGAAGAGAAGGTTCTAATCGAGGGTAATTTCAGGTTTTGGAGGTAGACTCCCTTGCAAATACCAACAAACAATGGTTTCAACCATGGTTTCAAAGTGGTGCAAAATGGTTTTGTCTTTTCCATCCACAGTACGATTCTGATCAACGGGCTTGCCTTTCAGTGGCTTCAACCTCTGACAATTTCTGGTTCCATTTTGCACCAAAGACAATGCGTGTAGCATTTGGAGTCCAGTTGGATTCCATTTGGATTCCCCACCTCCAAGACGCATACCCTCTCTCCCACTAGCATGGCACCTCACAGGGAATTGGTCTCAAGAGGAAGCTGATCTTCCATGTGCCCTCCCACAGGTGCCAACGTGGGAGGAAGGGTAGCTAACTGGGCAGGGCTCCTTAAAATTTCGCCTAAATTGAAACATGGCTTTTTCCACCAAAATAAAGGGCAACCACCATTTACACAATCATTTACGAGTTGCAATGTTCAGGTGTACAATGCATCCGGATCCCTGCTGGGAAGGGTAACAAAATGGCCAACTGGATCGAGCCATCCGCCAGGGGAAGCGCAAGGCCGCCTACAGCGGCGGGTTGGTGCTGGAGCCCAAGGCGAGGAATCGGCGAATGGCGGGCGAGGAATCGGCGAGGCGGAGGGAACTCGTTTTGGGCTGCTTTTAAAGGGAAACCAAATGGAAAACACTCATTTTGGGGGGTTCCCCGCAGGCTTGGTGTCTTATGTTCCCCTGCCAGTTGTTGCTGGTCCAGTTGCGGAGCCTGAAACGAGGTCGGTGTGGCGGATACGCGCTTGGACATGAAGGAATCGTGCTCCAAAGTCAAATTTGGCAACGCCAAAAAGTCGCTTTGACCAATTTAGAAGCTTAAGTGAGGGGTAGGGGTTTCGGGCGCTCAAATCTGCTTGACACGGAGTTAGGCTGGCGGTTTACTTCCGGTCTTGCTTTGCTACCGCAGCCAACGCATTGGCCGGCTCACAGCGGGCAAGTTTGCAGAGGAACCATCGAGGCTCATTTCTCGGAGCAGCGGTTCGTAGGGCGCCTCCGACGCAACGCATGCTGTGGGGCAGCGTTGATGGCAAAGACGTGCACTTGCTCACGCTGAAGTCGGAAAAGCTGGAGGCGGGACGGAGAAGGGGGATATTATGAGTCACCAACAATCTTATCAACCCAAAGTTCAAGCATAGCAAGGAAGTACCGGGACGGCCACATGCTTCTTAGGTCCTCTTGCCAAAAACACACATTCTGGCGGGGCTCATATGGACGATGCCTTAGCCGGAATTCTCGAACATTCTTCAGAGGTCTTCTGGGTGGCATGCAGAAGTGGATGCATTGGATGCATGGGACTCCCCAAATGGTTTCGTCGGAAACCCAAGGATTTGCACCGCTGAAATGGACTCCACGAAGCTGTGAAAAGGGAATCCACTTTTGGAATCCCTTCGGTAGGGGAAGCACTTCTTGGAATCCCTTCGGTAGTCTGTCGGGAAATGGAATCCAAGACAAAGGGCCTAACCCCAAAGACGACCGATATCACAGATCCAGCCAGCCCATTAGGTGGACATTTGCAGCGTTGGAGCTGCCCTCGTGGCCGTGCGCGTGAAGGCAATCGTTTTTTCTTCTTTCTTTCTTCCGATTTTTGTTTGCCAGGAAGAGCAGGGGCGTTCTCTCCTTTTTTGTTGAAACCATGGGTTTGGGCTCTTTGTGTTGAAACCATGGTTTGGGCTCTTTCTGATTGAAACCATGGTTTGGGGTAGACCTTGAACACCTGGTTTTGACATTCAGACCCACATGCTTTTGGTGCCGACCTTCTACCTTCGGACTTTTTGTTTCCCCACCGAGCAAAAAGCTGAGCTTGCTAAGGGTGCCACCGCGGAAGCAAGCATCGGCCACGGGCACACCAAACACCCCACTCGCCACTCAGTTATCCATGAATGTTCAGGTCCGCGGTGAGTGGATCGACGTCGTGTTGGGTCGCTTGGCTCAGTTTTGCCTACATTGGCAGTGGCAGCGATGGACGACTTGGCTTCTCAATGCGTTGTGACAACCTCGATCTTGAGATTTGGAACTCGGAGTTCGTGAGACACACATACATATTTTTTAGGGTAACCAGCCTGTTGGTTGGTTTAAAGGGAAACCCAGAGGAAAACAAAGCTGGAGCCATCTTGGAGGTCCGATTCCTAAAAACGGACACATACACATACATTTGGTGCATGGAGCGCTCTGAGGCTATGAAAGTCTGGAGAGCTGCTCACCTGAGACTCAGAAGTGATTGGTTTCGGGGCCTGAAGGGGCCCGGATCCCGTTTTTTTTCCTTCTTTTTTTTGGGGGGGGGGTTTTGAAGAGAGCTGGAGCACCTCTTGGAGCTGAAGAGGGTCCCTTGCCCATTTAAAGATGAACCAACACACCTGGAATGCCAACTTCACTGCGACCCAAGTGGCTTCAGTTGAGTAGGAAGATGCATCGCTCAGAATATCTCCTGTGCCAAAGGGGCCTTCCTTTGGGCGACCCCGCTTTTTCTACTTCCACGTGCACTTGCAGTAGTGTACCTCCTCACTTCCTCATTTGGCTTGAGCCACTTTTTTGGGGAAGGCTTTTCTGGTGGTAAGCAGCAAGCTTCGGCTTGTAATGAAAACCCCCGTCCGAACGCCCCACGCGGTGAGTCTGCCGCGCGCCTTCGCATGGCAGCGGTAGCTCCGGTCTCCGGCGCCGAGAGCCCGGCCGCCGGGGAGATGTTGGAAGGCCAGCGGGAAGTCGCTGCTGTGTCACGGGCTAAGTTTTGACATATATATCTATACACACATACATACACACACACACACACACGCATACATACATACATACACACACACACACGCATACATACATACATACATACATACATACATACATACATACATACATACATACATACATACATACATACATACATACATACATACATACATACATACACATACATACATACATACATACATACATACATACATACATACATACATACATACATACATACATACATACATACATACATACATACATACATACATACATACATACATACATACATACATACATACATACATACATACATACATACATACATACATACATACATACATTACATACATACATACATACATACATACATACATACATACATACATACATACATACATACATACATACATACATACATACATACATACATACATACATACATACATACATACATACATACATACATACATACATACATACATACATACATACATACATACATACATACATACATACATACATACATACATACATACATACATACATACATACATACATACATACATACATACATACATACATACATACATACATACATACATACATACATACATACATACATACATATATATATATATGTATTCCATGTGCCTGCGTTTGAATACTCTCTATGATGGTTAGTTTTCTTTCCGGAAGCCAAGAGGGGATGGATTATGCTCTTCACAGCCCATTTGTTCCCTAGTGAAAAAGCAGCTAGACACCCTGTCCCGGGGAATCAAGGGTGGCTGTGCGGCCCCATGGCGAAGGCTCCTTTGGCAAGCCCAATTTTGGCTGGGTGAATCACGCAGCGCCCAGAACCATGCCGACCCCTTTGGACCCCTTGGACTTTTTTGGACAACAACGCAATTTTTGCTTGGAGGGTGAACCAAAGGACGCCGTTTGGACCATATATCCCCGAGACAGACTCTGTGGCCCCGTGTTTTGAGCCGGTTGCCGGTTTGCCGATGTGCTTGCCCAGCTTGCTGCCTCATTCAGTGCCTAGCCCTTCTGGCACAAGCCCGTTTTCTTGCTCAGGCGGTGTTCAAGTCTTTAGGAGCTCGCTTTTCGCCAATGACGAGCCCCACCAAGATGAAGTCCCATGGCAAGACCCAGAAGCCCTCCATGCTCGAATTCATGGGCCTGGCGGGGAACTTCAGCCACCTGAACCTCAAAGACCCCTTCCACGTGAAGAAGAGAGGCTCCAGTTATCAGACCGAGGTGCGAGCAGGCGTTACCACCTTTTTGGCAATGGCCTACATTCTTCCTGTGAACAGCGGCATGCTGAGCTTGGTGATTCCCAACATGCGGCAGCAGCTGGTTTGTGCCACGGCGTTGGCATCCTTCCTTGGCTGTTGGTTTATGGGCATTCTGTCCAACTACCCATTCATGCTTGCACCGGGAATGGGCACCAATGCTTTCTTCACCTTCAGCGTGTGCATGGGCATGGGCCTGACCTACGAAGAGGCCTTCGCAGCCGTCTTCTGTGCGGGCTTGATCTTCATGACGCTCAGTATCACCGGGCTCCGCACCTTGATGATTCGTCTCTTCCCGGAGGGAATCAAGGAGAGCATCGGCGCCGGGGTGGGCCTCTTCCTGTGCTTCATCGCCTACCAGAGCTCCGAGGGGATGGGCGTCAGCGTGGCGGATAAGGCCACGCTGGTCACGCTGAACTCGCTCAGTTCCTCCAACTACGACTCCTCGAAGCTGTGGCTCAGCCTGGCGGTGCTGATTCTGACTGCCACCCTCTTTGCCGCCAAAGTGCCGGGGGCGCCGCTGGTGGGCATCATCTTTGGCACCGCGGTGACCTGGGCGGAGGGCTGGTGTCGCGGGGTGGAGGGCTCGATGCTGGGCTATCCCTTCGGTACGGAGGGCGACAGGTCGGTGGAGGACTTCCACATCTACGTGCCCACAGGGCTCCTGGCCACTCCGACCTTGGAGGGCCTGTCCGGTGCCCTCTGGAGCGGCTTTTCCGCCGCCGCCAACGAGAAGGCCGCCACCTTCTGGGGCGCAGCTCAGAAAATTCAGTGGCGCCAATTCAATCTTTTGACCCCTTTTTTTGGTGTTTCCCCCACTCAAAACGGTCCAAGCCCCAAAAAGGGGCACCCCGTTTTTTCCTCCAGGGCTCACTGAGCCACTGAGGCAGTGCTCACCTTCTGCTACACGGATCTGCTGGACTCCTCAGGCACCTTCTTTGCCGTGGCGAAGGTCGCCGGGCTCACGGACCGCCGGGGCAACTTTGGTGCATTTTGCCAAGGGATGTGAGGACTTCAGCTTTTTGATCCAACTAACGAATGGGTTTTCCGGAAAAACCAAAAAACACTCAAAACTGTTATTTGCTTTTGGCAGGGCTTCGCAGAAAGCAACTTTTGGTAAGGCAACTTGCCCTTGGCGCGGCAGAACATGGCGTACCTGGCCGACGCCATCGCCGCCTTGTGCGGATCCATGCTCGGGGTGTCCACGGTGGCCACCTTTGCGGAGAGCACCGCGGGGGTGGCGGATGGCGCCAAGACAGGCGGGGCCTTGGTGAATGGTCGGCACCACTTTGGTTTGGACATACTGTTGATGGAAGAAATCTTGCATGAGTTCTATAAGACTACATGTTTACCACCCCCCGCCCCCTACTTAACATTGAGCTGTGACGGGCAAAAGTGCTCGTAGGTTGCCAATGACCTAAATCTTGCATGACCCAACCCAACTTGGCCAAACTGAGCACCAATGTTAATTAGGGGGCGCGGGCTAAGTTGTAACAAAATGGAGTGGATCTGTACAAAAGTCATGCAA